GGGGCTGGGGTTGTTTAAAAACTTTTGGGGACGTTTATATATTTTTGTATCTTTTATTCTTGTATTTTCATATTTTTGTTAAATGTAAGCACACTCAGTGGAAGCTGAATGGTTTAAAGGAGATGTAAACCTTAACTGAATGACCTTTTCTAACCTTTTTGTTGCATCTCAGTGCTGCTGGTACCCTGTTGCCTTTTTGCAGCCACTTCCTATCTACATGCACTCCAGAGCTGGCTGCATGAGAGGGGAGGTCCCAGGAAGGGTTCGATGTGCATGTCTCCAGAATAATATTGTTTTTATTGAATCCTGAAATGATTGGAGTGGACATTTTTTTGTTGTGGATCTGTTAAAGGAAGTGTGGATGAGCTCTTTCTGATGCCTGTGCCTGAGTACCCTAAATGAGGTTTGCAATTTGTCTGTAAAGGTCCACATTTCAACAAATCCTAAAATAACTGACTTAACAGTTACAGCCATTCAAGGCTGGATAATGCTGCACTAAGTGTAAAGGATCCCCTGTAATACTAGAGGTAGGCATGGGCTCATAGGGAGGTATAGGTATACAGGTATTGTAGATTTGAAATAGGAAAGAAAATGTAAAAAAATTGCACATATTGTATATATTACCCCTTCAGGTCCCACACCTTTTTTTTTTAAAGATAATTTTTATTGAGTTTTAGGTGCAAGAGAAAATAAACAGTACAATAAAACCAACTATCAACAAAAATGAAAAAAAATAAAAATAAAAATAAAACAACACTGAATCAGTGTATGTCTCTTAGTCAAGATAATGACAGGTGAGTGTAAGGTTCAAAATGCAATCATCTACAAGTACACCAGGCACATCAGAGGAGAAGAAGAGAGGGAAACATAAAGAAGGAATAAATGATACATTGCGATCAAACTCTTAATGTTGGAGTGGAATGGTATGGGTGGTGGAGAGCCATGGTCTCCACATGCGGTCAAAGAATTGGGGGTCTACCTTGTTGTTCATAAGTGATTTTATAGACCGGAAGCATGTGATCAACCATCCGTTTCCCCCCATTCAAAGTGGGAGACGAGGGAGACTTCCATTGCAGAATACCTTTTTTTTAGGATAAAAAAAATTTCAATCCTAAAGAGGCTGCACCTATTATTTTCTTTCTTATGCAATCTAAAGTCAAAAGCACAACAAAACAAAACTATTCTATATATATATGTATTACAAAGTCAAGATGTATATTTTCTGCTCCTTAAATAGCAGCCTATTGGTATTTCAAGAAAATAAATTATGTTTTGCTTTAATTTTGCATTTACATTATGAAAGGTCATAGAACAAATGTTGCTGCTTGTTAGCCTTTGTTTTACATGACCGGAACCTTGGTAACTGGGAGCTGAAAAATAATCCTTAAAATGCATAGATATTGGGAAGCTTACCTGCTGAGTAGTTCAGTTTTCATCTAGATGTTGCTGTAATATACCAGTTTACCCCACTCCATTATCTATAATCTGTTGATCCTGGAAAACACCCGCTGGAGATGCTCTCACACACAGAAAAGCCTATTGTGAAAAAAAACACTGAAGGGTATTACATAAAACTTAATGAAAGATAACCTGTCGCTTTGCCTATTCAGGGTAAAGGGTTCACCAGCTAGTCAGCCTCCTTCATTACAGATGCATACTGTTCCTGTTTTCCCTCACTGCCTTGATCACTATCCAGGACCCTAGAAAGTACTTCTAGATATGCAGGAGCATGTGATTCTCACCATTTCCTCCTAAGTGCCTGAGCAACCAATCACTTGGAAGGAAACATTTTTTCAAGGATCCAACAGGTGGAGCAGAGCAAAAAAAGTAATTACAGGTATAAGATAACTTGGGCTGTCAAGAGAACCTATTATTTGTGTTATATGGGCAAAGTGACAAGTTTACCCTTCTAAACAATACTGTTACCAAAGCTTAATTGATCTATTCAGCTTGTGGATTCTGGATGTAAAATATAAGAACTCAAGTGCAATTTAAAATGCAGGAAAACATGGCTGTTTCCCAAGATGCATAAGGTGCAAGTAAACTCAACAATTCAGAACTGTGAAAAGTACCTTTCCTGAAAGCTATACACATGTATAAATAGACAGAGGTGCAAGATGGACATTGGATAAATGATTTAAACATTGAAAAATTATGCATGCACTAGACAATCCTAGCAAAATGGTAGAGAATGATTTGGAGTTGTCTTCAAATACCCTAATGTTTACTATGATGATTTGTATTTCATCATAGGAAACAATAGGGATTAATTTAGGACAACTTCAAATCAGTGTTTACCCTTTTTCTCTGAGGAAGTTCTACTGAGGTATCTGATTCACTATAGATATCCCAATTGTCCTCTAATCCTGCAATTTAATAGGACAGAACTAATATAATTTCTACTAGTACAGTGAGTGGAGAAGATAAACCTTTATTTCTGGCCTTTATTGCTGATATCTGCAGACATCAGCAAAACCTAACAATATTACACGTCGATTTGCATTTCTATAACCTTCAGTGTACATTTACAGTTGGTGGTGTAGTTTCCTGTTGCTTCACCTACTTTTCCACTACAGGTAAGTGCCTTTTTTTAAAAACTGAGCTATGGGTTAGAAACAGGGATTCCATTTTTGTATAGTATACCAATAAGAAAAAATGTTGAAGAAAGACTTGTGTAAATCCAGTTTTGCATCCCCTGAAATTTAGGTTAAGAGGAAGACAAATAGCCCCTGCCGATTATGCTTAATACGATTTAAAAAATTACTTTTTTTCTGCGAGAAAACACAAAGGAGCTCCAAAGCAGTTCTGAATGGACCTAATAGAATCACATGCTGGTATCGACATACTGAAGTATCTGTCATAAACCCGAATGTATGTTATATATAAGATCCAGCATTTGGGAGAATGTAATATAAATGACAGCCAAAAAAATATACTGTTCTCCTTGACGCCTTGTTCCCGTTGTTATTGAAGTGATTCATGTTGTATTATGGAACATAATAACTCGTTCCAGATTAAAGTCTTTAATTGTGCAACAGCTGTTCATGTGCTACTCCACATCATGCTGAAGAGCACGGCACTGCAGCTCACTGGAACTGGCAGGTCATACAGCAGACTTCTGTTGATTATTTGTTTCTGGTGAGAATTTAATAACTGGTTGTTTTGAATACGTCTTGCTTTTTGCCGACAATGGGAAACCTTACTGCATGTAAAATGTGCTTCTGAATATAAAACTATGCAAATAATTTCCTAAAGTCACAACATGATGAAGTATGCCTGTAGTGGTAGCCCAAGTAAATTAAAAAGGTCTTATTATGAAGCCCACCTGGCCCCCCTACTCTCCTTCCACACTACACCTGGCACCCCCAGTGGGTAAGCTTAGAAGCAGATGAATCAGTTATAACTGCAATCAATACCCTATTACGGACAATGCCATCCCATTGTAAACAGATTGATAATTCCATTCTCCAGCACTCTTTAAATCACTATATGATTTTCTTTCCCCGTCAGGAATTTTACCACTTGTTACTGTGAAGAGAAATCATAAACTACCGGGTTACCAAATCGTTTACTATTTGCAGATAAAAGTTACCTTAACTCATCTACCTCCACACAGCCTCCCACCCATCAGCTTTAGTCACACCTTTGATTTCACGACCCCGGGGCAAGGGAGCAATTTCCCTGACCTACCTTTCTCTACTCAAAGGCTGATGTCCCCCCTTTTACGCTATGTTTCTCGTTGAGAAAAAGATCTCTACAAACATTTGGATCCCAAAGAATGGGCCCAAATTTGGAACATGGTTGCTCATTGCTCCATAAATTGTAGCCATTGAGGTTAACTATAATGTACTTCTTTGCTGCTACATGCTGCCCCAACAAATTGCCAAATTTGCACGGGGTGTCTCCCCTCATTGTTTTTAAGGTTATCCCTGCACATATGGTGGGATTGCCCTAAGGTCAGACAACACTGGATAGGATAGTACCAGCTGATATATATGGTTTTGGGCAGGAGCATAAGAAAAAAATCCCCGGGAAGCTTTACTAAACTTGTTAGCTGTACCCATTTCCAGGTCAAACATAACATTTCAAACAGCCGCTAAGCATACTTTAGCCAAGGCATGGAGGTTACTATACCCAAAGTGGCACTGTCAAGCGTCAAATGTCCTGATATCTTGGTACATGATTCTTTGCATAAATTCCATACACCCTGGTTGACACACTATATGCCTTCCAATTTTGACCAAACATTACTAATGATTTAGGGTCCTCCGACTCTGGCTAACTTGGTTAACCTTGGGCACCCTTACCTTGTGCCTCCTCCCCTTCATTACCTGTCCCACTTATCTCTTTATTTTTGCCCACCTCTTCTTTCACTACACTTTTTTACTTGCTTCTGTTATTCTTCACTTCCCATACTACGTTCTCGTTTGGTCCAGGCACTGTGAAACCTATACGAATGATGGCTGTAGATATAATAATCTGGGAGAATCCTAATGGTGGAGATGGAATTTCCTTACTACCATTTGGCTGGTATGCAATGGTCGGCATACATATGTGTGAATGTCCAATATTCTTCACGGATAGGTTTCTTTATCATTATTGCACACTACCTATCCAATCAACATTTGGACTGTTTCCAATTGTGCTTTACCATGTTTTATTTTTGGCAAAAATAATAGAAGAATATTGAAACAAATTCAAAAGGTCCTTTTAACGCAAAGTTGGATACTTAATGCAAATGCAATGACGGAGCCAAGATCTCCTAGGAAATCTCCTACATGGCATTCTCAAGAGATTTACATATTTCAGTCACCCTCTGGTGTCAACCCAAATATACTTTTTGGCTTACTCTTTAACACAAATATTTTCTGAGTTCCTCAGAATTTATCTGCATGCCCTGCAGTATAAGATATGAAACCCCTCATTAGTCTGAAGGTGGAGACAGAAAACCATAGGCAAAGATGACATTCCTTTTATTAGTACTTTACTAAAGCCAAGAATAAAACATAAACATTTAACATGAATTATTTAATCAGTCAAGTATTTATGCAATGCACAAAATTCGCAATATCGTACATTTACAAACGGTTACTAATGTATGATCCTATCAGCTGTAATAAGTTACAATTGAGTCCTTTACATGTAGCGGTTCCGTATGTATTCTCTGTACATGAGCATGTCTTCTTTCCCAAGTGGCTGCATGATACCTCTGCCTGCTTGGATGTGAGCATGAAAAATATCCATTGATTTTCGGTCTACCTTGGGAGGTGTTACTTCATATATGTTGTCCTGGGAAAAGAATGAGATGCAGTTCCTGTAGAAAATACAAATTTTTGAAATTTAGCGAAATGTACATTTAAAGTGAATGCCCTATATACCATCCTATAAGGTGACACAAAACATTATTTGAATATGTAGGAGATAATAACAGGAAAAATACATGTGCTTCTCCCTTCTCTCTTCTTCTGTCAGCATATTACTTGTTAGCACATGTGAATGCAGGGCATTTTGATAAACACTTTACTGAAATCAAATCAGTACAAGATGGATTCTGATTGGTTGCTATGAGTTTTAGCACTTAAAAATAAAGAGGTATTTTGAGGTCAATATTCTGCTAAGGTGAAAACCATCCATGCGGCCATTCTATATTGTAATGGCTGCAATTGAGAAAGGTCACACCATGGTCCTCTGTCTGTCCACCTCTTTTACCTGTAATATCTGGGCATTCCACACCAACTCTCTAATGAAGCAAAAAAACCAAATGGTATACACCCAGCTGTGGACCCTGACCTCTCTTAGTTCAGATAATGCATGCAGTAATCTTCCAGCAAAATATTTAGGCTAAAGGAAAATTAGAGGAAGTAATGGTGATATAATTCAGATTTTCCCAAAGCAGACAAAGAAAAAGCACACCGCTAGTAATGAGTTATTGAATTTAAACAGGCACATAAAGCAGCTTCCAGCAGTACATAGCCACATTAACTCCAACAAGCCTGAATAGCACACCAAGGTGCGCGTTCTTAAAATCCACCTTACTTATCCTTGGCCTACTTGCATTTCTGAACATTTTGCCCTATTAAAAGAATTATAACATGACAATGCTGAGTAATGCCAAAGAGCTGTGTTTTCTTCAGTCATTTGCATAACCAGCACATCAATCTAATCAACACCCTTCCTTCATTCACGACAACTTTGACATCACAGTCCAAGCCCATTTGGCTCAAGATAATGAAACTATCTTTAATATTCATGTTTAGTGTGCTGCTGCTCTTTGTAAAATGTGCTTTCTGTTGTAATAGCAGGAAGCGCTCCTATTACTTTTATATCAGTTGGCATAATAACACAAGCTAAGTGACTAAAAGTATAATTTCATACAGTGGCGAACAGAAATTACATAATCCTGCTCAAATTTTGCCCGCTGTAAAGCAAAACAGATTATATTGTGTCTTGATTAACAGACATGTTGAACCAGATTCTCAAATATAACACGTTTATGCTGGAACTATTACACTATGAATAAAAAGTAATGAATGAAAGTTTGCAAACCCTTAACTCCCAACTCCAGGTTCACAGGCTATATGGAAAATAAAAAAGCAGCTCCGTCTGCTATACTGACCCAGACTTCAGTGCTGCCCCTCTCAGACTGATTCAGCTATGCTGTGCCGCTCCTCTTCTGGACTGATAGACGCCCACTTCCTGTGAGCCCACGGCATCAAGGGACCACCCTCTGCCATGGATTTACAGGAGAATGCTGTGGGGAGGAGCGCCACATCATTACATATAAGCAAACACAGCATTATTTGTGAACTGTGGCACAACAATCCTTTCTGCTGTAAGAATGGAAAGCAATAGTGATTGCAAGATGGTGGCTCAGTGTTTTGCATTGCAGGTATGCACTGCTGGAATTCATTAGCACAGTCTGCAGGGTGTTGAGGTCCAACTTTCTCCCACAATCTTTAAACATATGGGTAGTTTAACCGGCCAAAATTGGTCTTATCTTGTGTCCAGTTCGCAATAGTAAACATGATAAACTGTAAGCTCCTTCCGGGTCAGAGATGTTCTCAATACGCTGTAGCATTCTGCTATATCTGGACACTATACATACAAATAAGAAAATGATGAACAGTAGTTTTGCTTATCCTGTATTACAAATTGTACAGTCGGACTGTGAAGGAATGGTCTCAAAAGCTTTTCTCTGTCACCTGCATATTAATGTTGGCTGTACTGGTTTGGGTCTGCTGATTCAGATGTACATTCATATATGACCTGCAGAGCAATATTTAAAGGAGAACAGTAGGGCTACCCTAGCTGCTAAAATAAAAAAAAAACGTTATACCAACCTGATCTTTGGAGCCGGCTGGCTCTTAGATTGGTCCTTCCAGCTTCTCTCCCCCTCTACCCCGATGGTATAAGGCCCTTGAGCCATCATGTCCAATACAGTGTATAGTATGTGAGGATGCCAAGGAACATTTTATCGCTAGAGCGGATGAGGAGACAAGCCGGAGGGAACATTCTAACAGCCAGCCGGCTGCAAGGTTCAGGTGAGTATAACCTTGCTATTTTTGCACCTAGACCAAAACGAGCACTTAACCCTTGCAGTGTGGGGGAAGCCCCACTGTAAAGGGTAAGAAAATTTTTGCCTGGAATTCGTTTTTAAATATTAGTGATCAGTAGGGATGGGCTAATCTGCCCGGGCTCAATTAAACCAGTCTGACATTTGCAAAAACTGAAAAAAAATACTAAATTCTAATTGTCAAGGCATAACGAGCTAGGCACTGCCATAGGGGACATGTACCAATGCAAAAAAAAGAACATTTTAGCAGGGAGTGGGTAATTTCAATGCAAACTTGAGGGTGACATGGAAAAAAACACCAAACCTTTAACCCATTAAAGCTGTTTGTGGTGTTATGAAACAGTACTACTTTTTGACAGCGCCAGCGACACTATATTCTGGCATCACATATTTACGACGTGTAATCGTTTTTTTTAGTTTTACATTTAGCTAGGCCTAAATACAGCAGCAACACCCCAATCTGATTCATTTCAAATTAAAAATAAAAGTTATTTTATGTAGTTCTGGCTGCCACACCTGATTTTCTTTTATCAAGTGGTAATAGGTTTGATTTGACCCATGGAGGCAGCAGAAACAGCAGATCTAAAAGTCATAGGACAGATTACTCTTAACAAATAAAAAATAATAAAGTCTTAAGATCTTAACTACATACAATCTTGCCAGTGGCACACCAGTTCAGAGACACAACAGCCTTTAAGGCAGCGGTTCTCAACCTGGGGGTCGAATGACGATTTGCCAGGATTCGCCTAGCGGCTCCCGGCCACCCAGAAGAGGAGCGCTTTCTTTTTTTTTTTCTGACATCGGCCCGCTGTCAGTCAGAAAAAAAACCAAAAACATTTCTCCCGGAAAGGTTTAATCTGCTTGATGGCGCAGAGTAAACATTTCTCTGCTCTGACATCGGGCCCGCAGTGAGTCAGAAAAAAAAAAAACCCACCATAGGAATGCATGGCTAGATTCCTATTGGCTATTTCACTTTGCAATAGCCAATAGCAAACTAGCTATTGTATCCGCCCACTGCTGTTATCAATCAGCAGAGGGGGACCTGCAGTTCTCAATCAGGTCCCCATCTAGTGATTGACAGCAGCAGAGGGCGGGAGCAATAGCTAGTTTGCGATTGCAAAGTGAAATAGCCAATAGGAATCTAGCTATGCATTCCTATGGGGGTTTCTTTTTGTTTTTTTTCTGACTGACAGGGTTAAAAGTAAACCTGCACAGTGAGAGGGGATAGCAGTCTTCCCCTCTCACCTACAATTGTAGAAATGTCACCAGTCCTATTAAGATAGCAAAAGCTTCATTTATTGAAGTTTTTTGTCATATGAACAAACAAGCGCTTTCGGGACCGCGCAGGGTCCCTTCATCAGGCTAATAAATGAAGCTTTTGCTATCTTAATAGGACTGGTGACATTTCTACAATTTTGCTGACATTCGCGGCGCCATCCGCGGTCACTGCGAGCACCCCCCACTACAAGTGACATATCGGTAAGGAGTGCGACAAGGAGAGAGGAACTCCTGTATTGGAGATGACAGGGTCAATAAAGAGAACCTGTCACCTCCAATTGCTATCACACAGGGGCTTATTAGCACTGTGTGATAGCAATAAAGTTAAGTGGGAAAAAATAGATACATTTTTTTGAAGAAATAAACATTAAAAAAAAAGGAATAATTAAATTTAAAAAATAAAAAGGCGATTATGCGCAGGCAGATCGGAGCGCGGAGAGGGGAATCCAGCCCCTCCCCCTGTCACGGCAGAGAGCTGTGACAGGATCGAAAGGCGAGCGAACCCGGTATGTGTTCGCTCACCTCGCGATCTACTGAGCCGACCTGTGACAGTCTCATTGTCACAGGTCGGCTAGAACTATGAGGTGAGTGAAAAGCACTCACCTCATAGTTCTCCTTTAAGGGCTTGTTTCCACCATCACCAGACCATACATTTTTTTTAATCGCACCAGAAATGCATCCCCATGTTTTCCTATGGTATTTAGGGCTGTAGTTCCCACCAGTGCAATCACTTTGGGTGCGTTAAAAAAAAAGTACTGCATGCACAATTTTTTTCTGGTCTAGAACGCGTCAAAAATGCATACGAACACACCGGAACGCGCTGACACACACAGAAAAAAATCTATATTTTTTTTGTCACTTTTGATGACCTAATCAACAGTGGACACTTCCTTATGGAAAAGGGGCATTTTCAGTACATTGCTTACCTTGACCTCTGTGTTCTATCCAACATGGTGGACAAACATATTGACACTGACCTTTTTGTCACCTATGTGCAGGAGTGTCCTGAGCTTTATGATCCTACAAACCCACCATACAAGAATAACAGACACAGTGCTAAGACAATGCCCGCTTTCCATGGCTCCATGTTTGCTCAACTGCTGTGAAGGTCACAAACACGTGAAAGACTGAGAGGAAGCAGGAAATGACCTCAGAGACATAATTTGCATACTTAAAAAAAAATGCATCAAAAACGTGTGCAGCTGCGTTTGAAAATAAGCATCAAGATCTGGTCTGGAGATGGTGGAAACAAGCCTTTAGGGCTATAATTTTGAATGGTGCAGCAACAACTGTAGTTGCTGTTTAGCGGCTACCCATTCCCCCCTGTAGTTTTTTTTTTTTTGGGTGGTGAACCCAAACGCCATCCCTACCTATGAGGAAGTATAAGACAGCCTAGCGTGCAAATGCAGTGTTATATTTGGCGTCCTTTTAATACACTTTAAATTCTTACCACCAAGTCACAG